ATTATCTATTAAAAAAACCAATCTTTAAAGATAATCTCGACCTGCTGATGAACCCAAACTATGTTCAATCATCTTGAAACAAACTTCTTGAATATATGACGAACTTAATGACAAAACATCAAGAAGCCCAACGTAAAGCAAAGAAATACCACTTTGTATATATACTAGTATTCTCAGGTAACAATCAAGACTCTATAGAATGGCTGAAAAATATGAATAGAGTATTTAAAGCTAACAATATAGTAGAAAAATAAAAGACTTTCTGTAGTTAGTACATATTTCTCTAGGCTTGTAGCATTTTGATAAAAAGATCAAAGAGTAAGAAAACTAGACTTTCAATATTGGGACAACAGGTTATATCCAGATCAGAGCTTTGTATATCAATTCTATTCTAACTTTTGTATACATGCTTTGATAACCCAATAGAATTCTGAACTATTAGCAAGAAAGCAATATATGGAAGAAATGGTCAACCAATATATAATAGATATGTTGATCTTGTTCTGAAGAGTGATAAAAGTAGGTAACCAATACCTAGAAATCGTGAAAGCACAAATGTTTGTACAAGGTCTTCACCCTGATTTGTCAATGACCCTTAGCTTATTCATATCTAGTACGTTACAAGAAGCTATTGATAGATCCTAAATATACAAAATGACATTCGCAAGAGACTTGGCTATATGTGGATCTGTAGCAATCTATAATAATATGATGGGTCTTTCACTTCAACTACTCTACTCACAGCAACAATAGATGTTACTACCATAGCAACAATAGATATCACCGCCGCAGCAACAATAGATACTACAAACATAGCAACAATAGATATCCCAACTGCAACAACTACAAATGTTGTGATCTCATATGCTAGCACAACCATTGTTGCTATTTTAGTTACCAGTAAGCCCCTATTAGATATGAAGCTACAAGATTTGATAGGCTAAATGATTGCTTTGCTTCAGGAAATTGCAATAGCAGTAAAGGGCAATAATAATAATAATAGTAATAATCACCTTGCTAGTAATGATAGTTGTTAAGATAGGAGTAGCCAAGAACCTATCTGTTTCTTCTGTCAACAACCAGACTACTATGCAAGAGAGTGTCCAAATGTTGTTTAATAATTAAATGATATTAGAAATGCTCTTCAAGCTCTAAACTTCGAAAATAGAGGCCATATTAGAAATAGCAATAATACCTCAACAAATGATAGTTCACAGATACAAATAATAATCGCACAAATAGAAGATAAGTTTAGGTGTTTAAACTAAATGACATACCTTTTGAGAGTGAGTATATGTCAATGTCTAAAAATCTCTTAGTATATAAGATCGAAGAGACATATCTAACAAAACAATAATGAAAAGATAATAATAATCTTGATGAAGTCGTAGCTTCATCTCCAAATAAAGCTGCTAATAAAACTAAACATGTGAATAAAAAGGCAAAAGTTGAAAAGAAAAAAAGAACCAAACCTATTAACCCTCTTGTGATAACTAACATCTAGCTATATTCAATAATATCAGATATACAAAATAAGAAAATTGATATAATATATACTCAATTGTTCCAAGCTACACTGGAGTTAGAAAAGAGGTGCTCAAGTTGTTGCATCCTGGTCGAGTCACTAAATCAAAATTTGTTAATATTTGGTTAGGTTGTATAAATAATAGATATATGACATCTATGTATTGTGAAGCTCAGGTAAATGACATGCTGATTATTTTAATTTTGGATAGTAGACCTTTGGGCTGTGTTGTCTTTGCGAGTTTTTTGAAGAAAGCTGAAATTGCAATCAATCATCTCTCGGCCATATTAATAACAGAAATTTATAGAGAACAAAAATAATTATTAGGTGAAATTGATCATTTCTCTATTACTGTAGGTGGTAAAATCATTACTTCAAAGGCTATAGTGACAGATACTACAAACTATGCAGCTATAGTTAGAAATAACTGTATAAAGAAAGCTAGAGCAAAATTAGATTGAGAGGTTTGCAAACTTACTATTATAGATAGTGATAAAGAAATAAAGATCCTAACCAAATATTGTAAACTAGCAAATATCAGTGATTGTATTTAAGCAAAAGATATGAATATCGAAGCTACAAAAGAAAAGAGCAAAGAAATATTAAGCGAACTAGTTAACGATAATGATGAGGATAGTGAAAGTTCTAATAAGAATGATACTGACAATGATGAGGAAGATGCTTTGATTAATCAGAACTATTTCTTCTACGAACTTCATTCTGTAGTAAAAGAGGGTAATAAAATCTTGTGTATGAAAAAAAAGCATGATAATAGTAACTGTGCTATAAAAAAATAATCTAGTAATGATTGGACAGTGTGTCTTCTAAATAATACAAAAGTTCAGGCATTAAGTTAAATATCAGTGAAATGACCAAAAAGCAAAATAGTAATATAAAGAAGGTGTTAAGTGAATATAAAGACTTCTTTGTATGTAAATTATATGAATTGGGTCAAACAATAGTTGTGTATTATGAAGTACATATGGAGGAAAGTCTCTTGATTAAGCAATGATTCTATTCTATCTCTCAAGTTGAATATGAATTTATCAGTCAAGAGATAAAATTATTAGAAGAATTGGATTTAATTTAGCTATCGAATAGTCCATGGGTGTCCTGGTCATATTGATTAAGAAAAAGAATAGAAAACTTCACTTCTGCGTTGACTTTTGAAAACTAAACAAAAGAACAAAATATAATAATTACCCACTTCTTTGAATCAATAACTTTTAGGACTCTTGAAGAATTCGGTATGATATACTATATTAGATCTTGCAAGTGGCTTTTGGCAAGTTGGAATGAAACCTCAAGACCAAGAAAAGATAGTATTTACAATGAAATACAGTCTTTATAAATTTGTAGTAATGCTATTTGGTTTGATAAACACTCCTGC